GGTTGTACGTATGAATGATGAAAAATTGTGCTGCAAAAGCAGTGAAAGCCGAAAACAATACAAAGAAATAAATTGATGTGCTCAAGAAAAACTCCCACTGTGTTGAAAAAAAAAGAAATAATTGAACAAGGGTGGCAAAAAAAACGATGCAATGCAAGCTTGTTGTGCAAATGATGCATGCATGGGCCGTATGTGTGTCGTTGGGGGCATGCTTCGATGGGCCGGAGTGCACTTTCGGCCACTGGGTTGAAAAATTCCCATCAGTGGATGCATAGTCTGTCTGCGCTTTGCGGTCTTGCGAGAAAAAATAAAGTAAATATAAGTTATTGCGGATTGCCTGCTGGGAATAACCAGGCATGCATCTCCTGCATGCTTCTGACCGGCCATCTGGGTGAGCCATGTGGTGCTCTTCGTCAGTGAGTGTTTTTCAGGTGGTGGTAGAAAAAACTCACCTGCCAAAAATGGCGGCGTGCTTTACCCACGCCGACGCAGTGTGGGCACGGGAGCGTTTCAGCTCGATTTCAAAAATAAAAAGTGTTATATCTTTGTTGTTCTTTTGCCATTAAATTAAATAATCTGTTTTTTTAGACTGTGTGTTTGCGGCGTGTTCGATTTTCAATATATTTGAGCCCGAAACAAAGGGATTGACGAAAAAATGTTTTATTTTCGCTTTGACGTATTACATGAAGCAGTGGCGATGGGAGACCGGTGGAAATCACTATCTTCGGAGGGGGAAACCGCTCCCTTGGGGTCCGTTCCAGCTAGTACCACTCAAGGCGGTGCCACCGGACCATGGGAGCCACTCACCAACTGGCTGGCGGACACAGGTGCCGAAAGGATTCTGACACGTGTGGATCTCCTGCTGGATTGCGATCGAGCTACTGCGCATATGCCTTTCCTCTATGGATGCTACCTTTACCATTAACAGTGGATTCCTCCCTTGGGATGACAGCTACAGGTAGTTCAATGCGTGCTGCCGCGTCGCTGCGGCGACAGACCAGCGGCACCGGACAGTACATTGAAGCAAGTGGGATAGGTGTGCTGACAGGTGAGTTGTGTGTCGGGCAATGCCCGTGCTCTCAATGCTGATCGCGACAGGCATGGCATGATGTCGCGTAAGAGAGAGCACGCATGCATGTGGTGGCCGCTGCGTGCCAACCATTTTCCTCGAAACGTCATTGGAAAAGAAGGAAAAATACAAATAATTTTTTTTCTTTAAATCAAGTGAAAAAAATGTAATTTATACTTTTTTTGCTTAGGGCCATGCCTCATAGTTTTACTTATTTGGGGGTCCGCGTTTAAGGTTTAATGGTTCGGGGTTCCCGGGTCATGATGGGTTAGTGTTCGTACTTAAACGTAAAAAAAGGTGACGCTTATACAATTTATGTTTTTTTTCTTGGGTTTTTAACTCCTGCAGCTGGTTTCAAACCCGCTTCCTCATATCTTTGTCAACATGATTATCGCTACTCAATGAAGACCCATCCGATTTAAAAAGTTAATTGACCAGTAAATCAATACTTATCGTACGAGGAAAAAAAACTGAGGATACATATTCAACGCGTTAAATGGTTAGGGTATTTTGTTTCTGCGGCTGGCTCCAAATCCGCTTTCTCGTATCTTGGTTAACAGTACTGTCACCATTCAAAAAAAACAACCGACTAAAAACAATTTACTGCATAATTAAACGCTAGTTATCAGGGTGAGCGGAGAAAAAAACGAATAACGCCTATACATCGCATTTATATGCCAGGCCGATTCAAAAATGTCGTGTCATACCGATAAAAATGGTCCGACGGAACCGATTAAGTGGTGTGTTAGACGAATTTAGGGACGGGAGGGGCTGGAATGATCATTTTGTGCCACATTATGGTGGGCGTGGGGAAAGCGATGGTTATTTGGCCCATAAACCCTACCAGCCCCTCCCGTCCATAAATAACAAGAGCTTAGCCTTCCACCTGCTGCCTACTACTAATCGGATCTGATCCAGCCCTCTTCGGCGCGCCGCCACTTCCCCCTCCTTCATTGTGTGTCGCCGCTTTATATTCTCCCTCTATGTGCCTATACTTTCGATCAACCTTCGGGACATGCAACCTCTGGTTTTAGGTTTTAGAGCTACGATTTATGGTGTGGGTAGCTAGCTGCGTGGGTTTATGGTTTAGTAGCTAGTGGTGAGTTAGACCAATTCCCAGTTGTCACTCCGGAATGATCATTTTGTGCCACATTATGGTGGGCATGTAGGAAAAACGGTAGACTAGTTGTTTGGCCCATAAACCCTCCTAGCCCCTCCCGTCCATAAATAACAAGAGCTTAGCCTTCCACCTGCTGCCTGCTAAAAATCTGATCCGATCCAGCCCTCTTCGGCGCGCCGCCACTTCCCCCTCCTTCATTGTGTGTCGCCGCTTTATATTCTCCCTCTATGTGCCTCTACTTTCGATCCACCTTCGCGACATGCAACATCCGGT